TAGCCTGGGTGGAATAGCTATCAAATGTTTGAATGCATCTTCATTAACGTCCTTAATTTGTCGCATCACTGACTCCCATGCTTGAGGATGTGTTGATGATGCTGCCTTCCATAGTAATTGTCTCAGAGTTATGCCACTAAATTTCTTCCTAAAATTTGCATATATGTGCCTGACAAAAAAGCGTTGGTCCACCCTAGGCAAAAGATTTTGTAAAGCTGGCAGAAGTCCCTATCACAGTAAAAAGAGAAAGTATGAGTCTTAAATTTCCATCGTCATCAAAGTATTAAATAAAAGTTACACATTTACTTACTTTCTATTGATCTGATACAAATGTACACCTTGAACAAAAGCCCCCACCTCCAAGATCATCAACTAACCATTCTAAAAACCAAGTCCATGTTTCCTTGTTCTCTACATCAACAACAACATATGCTAACAGACACATCTGGTCATTGCCATCTCTTCCAACAGCAGTTAAAAGTTCAACTCCATATTTCCCTTTTAAGAAACAACCATCCAAATGTATAATAGGCCTACAACATACAAAGTTGTCCTTACATGCTTTCAAACACACATACATTCTCTTGACTATGGCCTTATCCTCAGTTGGTTCTACATTAACTTTAATTGTTGAGCCAGGGTTTGATCTGAGTAACTCATGTGCATAATCAAATAGTCTTTCATATTGTTGTTTGAAACAACCATCAATGTTGGCGGATTCCATTGCTTTTGCCCTACTTGTTGTAGACCAAGACACACCAATGTTATACTTTTTTCAAAATTTATTGTGCAGGTTTTTCATATTAATATCCGGATTTCCTTTCATGCTCTTCTCTAACCTCCCACTTAACCATTTAGAGGTAACTAAACCAATTTTGAATTCCCTACTGCATGTATGACTGTCTACAATTTTCCTTAACTGCCATGTATGTTGGCTACTCCTATATCCACAATATGCATACCATGGACATTTCCCTTGTGAACCAATACATTTGACGTATATTCTTCTCTTGTCATTCTTAGAATTCTTCAACTTCCTACCGTTATGTACCACATAAGTTCTAATTGCATCAGTGAAATCTTTTTTTTTCAGGGAAGTATGTTCCCAGTTGCCATTTATATTCTTTCATACTAACTGGCTCTGAGAAGATCCCAAAATCTCCATATCGGGTTGTTTCATTATCTGAGTCATCACTTAAATAAATACTGCCACAACTATCAGATTCCCACTCATTATCAGATAATCCTCGGGCCTGTACATGCTTATTTGGAGTAGGACATCCACTTCCTGTACCCACTTCAACAAACAAACTACCTTCGTATTGCTCTTCTTGGGGTTCTTCATCTCCTAGCACTATAACATCCACCAAATCATCTTTATTGACAGAAGCGTCTTCATCATAACCTACCCAACTACTAACATCAAACTCATCTTGTACATCCCCTACACCACCATCTACACCACCACCAATGATATCATCCTCACCATCCCCTTCATAACAAACACCATCATCATCTTCACCATCCTTACCAACGTCATTGACTTCAGGAACTTTATCTCCATCCTCAGCAACTTCTTCTTCACTCCCATCTTCATCAACTTTATCTTCACCATGTTCAGCCAGTTTACCTTCAACATCCTCACCAACGTCATGGACTTGATGTTCATCATGTTCGCCAACTTCAACAACTTTATCTCCATCCTCACCAACTTCTTGTTCACCATCCTCACCAATTCCTTCTTCACCACCATTTTCACCAACCTCACCAACCTCATCATCATGATCTTCACCTTCACGATGATATTCCAACATTTGAATATAATCTGGTTCGGACATCATGTGAACCACAAACAAATGAGCTTGACCATTCAAAATCTCAATACTGACCACATGCATTGCACATATGTCATCACTCAACAATTCCAACCTAGCTTCTAATACAGAACCACCCAGGGAATACCACACCTCCTTAACATTTTTATATCTCATCTCCTTCAGTATGGACAAGATTTCAAAATAACTCCATTTATCTGTGTCAACCATCAAGGTACTGGTAGAACCTCCATGGTATCTAAATGACCCATCATTCACAAACTTACCCCCATGGTGAAACACCACCTCAACATCAGGGTCTGACATTTTCTTTAATTATCAACTATTATATGACTATATAAAAGTAAGTGTAAGAATACATATGGAACAACTTAATGACCTTCACATGCATCTACTATCATTATTTAATGACCTTCACATGCATCTACATTGTAAAGATGCCACATTTTTAACAACTATTAAACGTGTAGGCATACAAACTTAATCACACGCAATCATTGTTTCACCTACAACATTCCATTTTGATTTAATGCTTAAATAAATACGCAAGAACCACACAATAAACAACAACCACACATTCAACAATACGAAACCGAAAACAGTACGCACTAAAGGTACACAAAACAGTACGCACTCATGGGGGACCAAAAACATACAAGCAGTAGGCATAAGAAAACGACAGACCGTAAAGAAAGAGACCACTACAAACACAAGAAAGGGGACCACGACAGGACCACAACAGGACACACTAAGGGGACAAGAAGCCAACATATTTCCATGGGGGACCGAAACTACATAAAAGAACTCATAAAAAGCGCACCTTTCACCTTTCCGCCTCCAAAGGGATACCACCGCTATCGCTCACCCACCGCAATAGCTGACACACCGCAATATACTTCACAACGCCTTTTCGCTCAACAAATCTCCTTCCACAACGACAATCCTTCACTCAGTATCAACCTTTACTCATAAATCCTTCCACACTATCAACCACAAGAAGGAACGAAAAATCCCTAATTTATAACCTACTATTCCTAATGTTTTTATTGTACAATAAAAAAACCCTAATTACTTTATTTCCCCAATTTAAAAAATGTAACCCCATTTCAAATTCGCAATTCTGGCTGCCACGTCAAGTAACTTAAGCCAACTCATTGCCACGACGCAATTTATTGCACAAATCACATCCACAGTCACAAAAACGTTATTAATATTAACGCCGTTAACTGGATAGGATTGAATTGATACAAATTTGAAAACATAGGTACCAAACTCCTACATTTTTAAAACCGGACACTAAACATAAAATTACCTCCTAACATGGGGACTAAGTAAGCATTTAAGCCTATAGAGAATGTGACTTTTTCATTTACTATTCTTAACATCAATTCACTTTGTTCTACATCTATCAATGCTTTTTCCGTGGCTAAAAATGGTCTTCCCAATACAATTGGGACTTTAACATCTTCCTCCATATCAAGAACCACAAAATCAATTGGAAAGATAGATTTATCCACCTTTACTAAGACATCTTCAACAATCCATAAGGATAAGTCATTGAACGGTCTGCCAATTGTAGAGTTATCGTAGTAGGCTTCACTTCTCCAATACCCAGCCTTTTAAAAATGGACAACGACATCAAATTGATGCTTGCTCCAAGGTTACACAATGCCTTATGCACCATTATATTTTCAAAGCTTCTTGGATCCTTTAACTTGGGAGACAATTTTTGTTGAATTATTGCACTACACTCCTCTGTGAGCATAATTGTTTCATCTTCTTGAAGCTTCCTTTTCTTTAACACCAAGTCTTTCATGAATTTAGCATAACTTGACATTTGTTCCAATGCTTCAGTAAATGGAATATTAATGTAGAGCTTCTTAAATACATCAAGAAATCTTGCAAATTGCTTCGCTTGTTCTTGTTTCTTCAACCTTTGAGGAAATGGAATAGTAGGGACATACTCCCATTTACTCTCACTCTTTTGATTTTTGTTCTTCCTCATTCTTCTCCTCACATTTTCTCTTAACTTCATTTTCTTCACTCTCTTCCATTGTTTCATCAAATCTTTTCCTTTTCTCTCTCTTGATCTCACTCCTTTTTTCATTCTCTAACACTCTTCCACTCCTCAATTGCATTGCCGTACATTGTTCCCTTGGGTTTGGTATGGTGTCACTAGGAAATGTTCCAGAAGATCTCTCTAAGAGTTGTCCTGAAAGTTGACCAATTTGGTTCTTCAAATTTCTAATTGAAGCTTCCTGGTTCTTGAAGTTAGTCTTTGTCTCATTCATGAAATTAGAAGTATGCTTAGTTAGCTTCTCTAACGCATTTTCCAATGTAGACATCTTGTTCCTTTGATTGATAGGTTGTTCTTGATATTGATATGAAGGCCTTAGTTGATTAGATTGGATTGGATTGCTCCAAGGTCTAGTTGGTTGGTGCCTTCAATTTGCATTAAGGTTGGTAGAAAATTGATTTTGTTGTTGTCCCACTACATTCACATGTGCCTCTTGTTGAGTGGCCTGACATGCACCATTTTGATGTATTCCTCCACAAAAATCACACATTGGAGATGTTGTATGCAAACTATTTGCTTGCATATTTCCCAACTTCAGAGTCAAATAAGTGATCTGTTGTGTTAACAACTTATTTTGGGCTAGGATGGCATCCAAAGTATTGACCTCTAAAACTCCAACTTTTCTATTTTGGCGATCAAACTGCATATTCACTATGTTATTTTCCATTAGCTCAAGAGTCTCTAAAGTTTCTTCAGGTGTTTTCAAATTAAATGATCCTCATTTGTCGGGTCACTATCGGACCACCCATTAATTATATTCTCATGCTCGAGATGTCTATACCTCGGCGTGAAGGGGGTGTGTCTGAAGTCCCATGACTAGAGATAAGGTCCAAATTATAATAAATAAGTGGAGTGCAAACCTCATCTTACAAGCTGATTTTGTGAGATTGAATTAGGCTTAAAATCCATTTTCTAATAATTTTCATAAACTTGGTTGGGATTCTACTTTTTTGAGTGTTCAATGTAATTTTAATTTTTGTTTAATTTAATCTTATTTTATAACAATGTTTAAATCGTATTGTCCACATGAGTAATTAGTGAATAAGTTGTTCCATTTTTTGTGATATGGTACCCCACGTCATCTCATTTTCTTCCCGACAGAACAAAAAATCCTAAGTAGCCACCATGTCCTCCTCCACGTCGTTGCACCACCACCAACCACTATAAATTAGAGTGTCTCTTCAACCATCTCTTCAAGACATAGTCACAACACCACCCACTGGTTGTCCCACCTCCATAATCATCTTCGTTTGTGCAAAACCTGTAGAAAAACTAAACCCAAATTGTGCCACCATCATCACCATTCATGCAAAACCTGTAGAAAAACCAAACCCAAATGGTACCACCATCGTCACCATTTTCGTTCAAGCGAAACCCGCAGAAAAACTAGACCCAAAAGCAAGCACAAATCGCAATATCATCATCACTAAAACCTTAATTTTGGGAGTGATTCTAGATTTGTGGTTTGTAAGTGAGGAAAATGGATTCATAAAGCTTTTATTCAAACTTGAGAAGTAGGATGGTGTAGTGACTTGATTCATGTTGTAATTTCGACTTCAAGCAATTCTCATCACATTTTACACAAATATTTCGTTTGGCTTTTCAAAGTAGAAATCTTTTGTTGAGAGAAATCAAACAAACCTTAGATGTAGTGATCATGCTCGGATGGCCTAAGGGAAGAGGACTCGAGAACAGGAGAGAGGTATGAAAGAAAACCATAGGAGAAAAGTTTGTTGGGTGGTTTGGATTTGGTGATGGCACGACATTGTGGAGAAGGACATAGTGACAGCCTAGAGTTTATGGGGGTGCTGGACAAAAGATGAGATGACGTGGTGATTTACATCACAAAAAATAAAATAACTCACGTGGACACTAACTATTTAAATATCATCGTAAAAAAAATTAATAAAATTTACAAAAATTAGAAAAATACTAAAAAAAATTGAGTATCACGACTAACAAAGTAATAAAAATAGAAACAAAAGAGATATATTAAACAAATATTTTGAAACACATCTTTCTTAATCAGCTCTAGATTGGCCAACACGAGAAGAGATGATGATACCAACAATGAGAGAATAATAGCAACAATGAGATCATACAGGCAAGAACTTCAACAAAAATGAGGATGAGAAACATTCCAACGAAAAACTTTGGTTGTTGTGAATTGGCTCGATAGAAGAAGATTAATTGTTTAAAGCAAGAATTTTAATAAGATTCATTATAAAAGCTATATCACTGTATCCGCACTAGCTTCTTCTACTACCACCATGCTTCTTCTTCCTCCAGCACGCAACAAAGAAAGGGAAAAGCAAGGTTCATTAGTTCCATAGAAGCCAAGTGCTAGGAAAATGGAGGTAAAAATGGATGGAGGATATGTTAAGAAAGCAAAGGAACATAAATGGAGGGATAATGTGGACGGCTGCGCTGCCAAGAAGAGATTCACACCTCTCATGTTAGGGTTTTTAATATATTTTTAATAAAGGGTAAAGTAATAATTTAGAAAAATTTGGAGTGTAAAAATTGGGAATACTTCATACTTTTTCCAATTTATACTTTTATATTTCATAAATAGAATAATGTGTAAAATACTTTTATTAATCAAATCAAAATCATTTAATATTAATTAAAACACATATTTTTTATTAAATTTAAAAGTTAAATATATTTTTAAGTGTTTTAACTTTTGCGGAATTAGATTAGTTCATATTTTAAACTTTGAATATTTTAATCTTTATTAATAAATGAATTTAGTTTATTGTAACTAAATGACACTAAAAATTGATTGATTTTACAAACAAATGTGTTGTTAACGGGGACACGCACTAACACTTAAACACACACCTTGACAATATAATTTGTTACCTCATATCTATTTAATTAGAAAGACTTAATATATTCATTAATAATTTTATAAAATGAAAGTGATAAAAAAGATTCAATTTTAAATGAAAGTTAAAAATATGTTTAATGTTATCTTATAATGAAAGATAGTTTTAGTGAAAGTTAAAAATATATTTAATGTTATTTTATAATGAAAGATAGTTAACAACATTGTACTTTTTTTATATAAAAACATAATCAAATTTTTAATAAAAATAGATTTATAATGAAAATGGATGATAGTATTTATTTTAATAATTTTTTAATCGAAGAATCGAACTATTAACAATTCTGTCACCCATATGCAATCAAAACGTAAAGAAATATTTATACCTAATTAACTAAATACTGTTACGCTATAAATATGACATAATTTTTATAATTCTGATATCATATATAACCTTTGTGACATGTATTTATATATTTAAAACAATATTTAACGAAAAGAGTTTCAATAAATAATCATAAATTCAGATATCTATTAAACATTTAAAAAAACACAACTTCATTTTTTCTAATCCGAGATTTTTTTTAATGAATAATGGTTTTACTAATTACATCTTGTGAAGAAAGAAATAGAAATACTGAAATAAAATAATAATAAATAAATAAAATATTACAAAATCAACGGGGTATAATTTTTTTGTCTATTTTTTTTCTCCTAAAAGAACTGATATATATATATAAACATTTCATTATATAAGGGTAATTTTGTAATCTGGGCATTTCCCCTTCCCCACTCAACGGATTTGTACTATCCGTATACTCGTTGCAATGTATAAAGGCTCCCAAGTTTATCCAACGCGCACAAATTGCGAGGCACTGGAAAGAGAAACAGAAGAAAACAGAAGAAGGACTGATTCGTCACTGAGAGCACAGAGAGAGAAAATTTCTTATTCTGCAACTTCCATTTGATCCCATGGCTAAAGAGGTTAACAAGCAAAGAAGGGTTAAGGTTCCTTTCAGCGCAGAAGACACTGCTTCTCTGTTGCAAAGGTCTCATTTCTTCGTTCTGTTTTTATTTTTGTTTTCAATTATTTTCATCTCGTTTTTCTGTTTATTGTTGATCTGCGTGAAACATCATGCAGATACGATGCACCAACGGTTTTGACGTTGCTTCAGGAATTGGCCAATTATCCGTATTCCAAGTTTAACTGGAATGATTTGGCGGCCAAAACTTCAACCGGAATTTCTAATGCTAGAGAGTATCAAATGCTGTGGCGACATTTGGCGTATGGTCACTCCATGGCAAATTTGGATGACGATGCTCAACCTTTGGTTTGTACGCTTTTTAATTTTTTGTGAATATGTTTTTGTTTAAACTATGATTATTTGCATTATAATTTCTATATCCTGCTCTCTCTTTTTTCATATTTTCAAGTTACATTTCTCAGATTTAAGCTGCAACGTGTTTTTTTTTTTTTTGAGTTTTACAAAGTTTGACCGAATTTTCCAAAGTCATATTCATAATTCTGTGTCATTAATTAATTGTGTGAGATGTGAGTTTCATCGAGAAGGAAACTATTGTTACTATTATTCCTGCTCTTAAAAAGACAGAATTTAGGTTGATTGTATTTTTGGTATTTGTTATGCCACTGTTTGATCAGCGAGAAGATAGAGTTTAGCTTAATAATATTTTAAGCATTTATTCTTTATACTACTGTTCGATCAAGGAGAAGATAGAGTTATTTAGGTTGACTATGATTTAGGTTTTTGATCCTTTGATAAGTGAAAAATGCAGGTTAACGACACGTTGAAATGTTCAATAATTTATAGGGATTCAGTTTATGATTTATTATTAATTATTAATCTATATTCTATCTTTTCACCTTCATCTACCTTTTTTTATCTATCAAGGGAATCGGTCCTTATTCTCTCTTTTACTTTTTATTTTATGCTCTTATATATTTTTTATGTCTCTTTTCTTTCGTACCTTTCTATCTACATTGCTTTGCCTACATATTCATCATGTCCATATGCTTGTATGCATCGTGTTTTGCAATGAAAAGAAAAGAGTCCTTTTTTTTTTAACAGAAAGTGAGTGTTTATCTTCCCTATTTTAGCCAGTAATTAAACACATGTAAAAGAGTTTTATTTTCACAAATATCTTAATTGTGTTCAATTTTATTTTTAATGATTACACAGAATAGACTAACTTAAACTTACTTATCGTGATGACATAATGTTCTAACACAACTCACTTAATAACTTAATTTTTTAATTATTTAAAATGTATATATAATTTTCTACACTTTCTATTCTAATATATAATTAGAAAATGCATATGGAACCGTGAGAGGGGGAAATGTAAAAACAAAAGGAAAAAAAGTGAAATTGTTTCGGTATAAAAAATGTTAAATATATTTTATTTATTATTAACATCTT